AGTGCGCGGTAGGCAGGCAGTGGCAGCCCGGCGCCCCGAATCTCCAGGTGGCTCTGTGGGCCAGCGTCTATGTGGAGCAGCACTGGGGGTAAAGGAACACATGACACTCTTTCCCTCCACCCGCTTGCCCTTGTGCTGTTAGGGCACAGAGTGCCAGCACAGGACCCCTTTGGGCTAGTCTGCTCCCTGGCCGGGCTTCCATGGAATAGGTCCTCTGGTGGTCAGCAGATGGCAGTGGAAAAAACCTACCCTGCAATGAGGGGGAGAAGAGGGTGGCCCTCCTGTGGTGGGAGTTTTGACCCACCACAGCTGTGTGTGATACTGGGGGGCTGTGATGACTTCCGAGGTGCTGTGAGGGGCTCTGACTTCTGGGAATGTCCCGACTTCTGGTCCTCGGGGACAATGGCTGATTGCTATTGTTAGGGGGATCCTGACACCTGTATGTGGGGGTTCATGACCCCTGTTGGGGGTGTCTACCAGCGAGTATGGATGTTCCTGTGCTCTTTGTGGAGATTTTGATCCTTATGGGTGTGTTGGGGGGTAGTTCTCACTCCAAGGTGGGTTTCAGCTTGTGTCTGTGGGGATCCTGGCCGTAGGGTACTGACCTGTATGGCCATCATTCTCCAGGGTCCACGGGCCTGGAGGTGCTGTGTTGTAGCCCTGTAAGATGAAGGGTCCCAGGGTGGGGTCCCGCTGAACCAAGTGAAGGTCAATGTTGATGGGGGACTGGGCTGGGCCCCCACAGGCAGGGGCCATCTCCTTCCAGTGGGTGGGGCCTGAGGGAACAAGGTCAGGGATATATGGGGGGGGGGCTCGGGGGACAACTTGGGGATACACAGAGGAAGGCAGTGCCTCTCTCCCTCCCTCCTGCACATACCTAGAGAATCGCCCAGCCTCAGGAAGCTCCTTCCTGCTCACCCACACACCTGGACAGGTCACAACTGCCACACGTACCCCGACCTAGCCTGGCCATAATGTTTGTAACACTCTCACGTAGGTAGGCACCACCTGGTCTGGGCCATACTCTGACACACAGTCACCTGTAGCTAGAGTGCCCCATAGGGAATGGGGATGGAAGGGTCTCCTGGCACGACAGTCACACACCCACACTGGGGACATGTATCACTTGCTCACACATGGGCTGACCATGCTGACAGCCTTACAGTCCCCACTTATATGAACAGCTTGGCACACATGCCAGGACTGGAGATCACACCAGCAACAAACACAGACACACAGGCATGGGGGGGGGGGTCACACGCATGCTGCCTGGTACCCAGACAGCCACTGTGGCCCAGGACTCCAGACACAAACCTGCAGAAACCAGAGAAGCTTGGCATGCACACTGCTTTTGGTTCATGCTAGCATCAGACTGTCTAGTGGCCACAGGACAAAGACTGATACCATATAGCCTCACATGACACTCTGTCCTCACCACACTTTGGGTCCTGGGAGTCGTAGCACCAGGTGCCTGCGGACAGTGGACAGGGAACTGAGATGAGGGACAGCAACCTGGGCTCTCTCTGAGCTCCATGCAAGAATGGGGCTCCTCCTCTCCTAAGACCCCAACATCTCCTCCCCCAAAGAAACCCCCCAGTGGCAGAGCTTTACAGGGAGAAGGGGGAGCTGCAAGGGAGGGTAGATTCGAGAAGGGTAGAATTCGAGATGGGCAGGGTCCAGGTGCTCACCCTCTGAGTCCCCGCGCACCACCAGTGGCACAGTGAGGAAGGCGAGTGCAAAGCCTGGAGACCGCATGGTGCAGCAGCCACTGTGACTCCAGAGGACTGGAAAGTGCCAGAGAACTGTGGGGCAGGCTAGGCAGCTGTTTATTAGTGGGGTGGGCTTAGGGGCGTGGCTAAGTCTTGTGGGCTCTCTGGCAGGCCACTGCAGAGAGGGTCAGAGGGGGCGGTGTCCAGGCAGGGCCACCAGCAGAGAAGACAGAGGTCTGAGATCACCAGGCACATGCTCTGATCCCAGGGCCGCGGCTGTGTTCCAGCAACAATCGCTGGCATTTACCGGAGCAAAACACTTTAAACAGACTCCCCCAATTAATTGGGGGGAGGCGCTATTATGCCCACTTAAAGAGGAGGAAACAGAGGCTGGGGGCCAGGAGTGACATGCCAAGGCCACCAAGTAAGGATGGAAATGAAAGGGGAGGGCACTTTGAATCCCAGTGCCCTTGACTTTTGAGGCTGGGGTGAGGAGGGTGTATTTCCCTTCTGTTGTGGGCCTGGGACCTCCCAAAGACCATAGGCTCTCTTGTATAGGTGTCTCCCCCACCCCCCCACGCCGCCCCGCACACCTGGGAAAAGGCCCTCCTTTGGGGGATTACTCCACCAACAGGTCTTTGGGAAGCCACAGCTCTCCCACTCTGCCCCACACCAGCCTGGTGGGGACACTTCAGGCTTCCCCAGCAGCTCCTGAGGCTCTGACTCCAGGCTGTGGCCTGAGCCTCAGCCCCTCAATTCATTCTCCTGGAAAGTGGAGCTGATTTTGCTGCCTCTTGGTGTAGCTGGGAGAGAAAGCAACACTGGAAAGCTCTTTACCCAGCATGTGTGTGCCTGTGGATGTGAGCATAATTGGGCCAGTGATGTGAAGGGAGATGGGGTGGGCTGGGGTATCTTTCTCCAATCCCTAGAGGGTCAGGCTCTCCCCACTTTGGGGAAGGGGCGCTGTCAGCAGTGCTGACGGCACCCAGGACCCCCACCACCACCCTAGCAGGTATGTTCAGAAATGAGGGATGCTGTCCTCGAAGCTCCTATCCACACCAAGGGACTCCCTGTTCCTTTTTTAACCCTGGCCCCTCGCCTGTCAGGCCCCCAGGATCCCCCTGCCCAGGATGGAGCTGACTGCCAGGACGCTGGGTTAGGAAGGTAAGCACAAGGACCCACCTGAGGTTGAGTCCCCTGGACACCCTTTTGTTCCTCCATCACAGACTGGGAAATTATTGAAAGGACCATGGTCAGTGGGGCATCTTGGAGCCCTGCACCCCAGCCTGGCTCACCTAGATGCCCCAACTCCTCCATCCACCCATCTCAGCCACCCTGGCTGGAGTCTCCCATCGCAACTTAGGCCACACCAAAGACTGACCACGCCTCTTCCAGAACACAAATTTATTTGGCATTTGGATGAAATGGTTCTCACAGCATCTTAAGAAAAGGATTAGTGCCAACCCAACCAAAAATAAACCCAAACTAAAACCCTTAGTGAAAGGAGAACATAAAAAACAGGCATCGAGGCAATGTACAGTATCGACTCCTTCCTCCACCAGGTAAGTCGGGTCCTGGGGGAAAAGGCCCCTCCCAAGAGCCTGGCCTGTACCTCTGGGAGCCCAGTCAATCACAGGAGCACAAGAGTCTCAGCTCGGGTTGGCTTTGGGATTCTTCATCAGACCCTGGAGCAGTTAGAACTTAACAAAGGGCGGCAATTGGACAGGAGGCCAAGGGCAGCCAGGCAGACCCTGGCTTCCCCACCTTGTTCCCCTCACAACCGCCCTCCAGCAGAGCTCACTCCTAGGCACCAGCTCCTGCACACACGGCATGCAGGCCTCTGTGCAGCCCAAGGACCCCAGCGGGCTGAGCACCCTGGTGCTGGGACAGAACCCTGGCCAGTCCAGAAGCGGGCCCACCATACTTCAGGCCACCTCCTCAATGCCTCCTGCATGCCTGATTGGCCCCAGCAGTCCTTCGGTCCCCAAAGGGAGCTCCCCAGTCCCAGACATCTTGTGCCAACTGCCCTGTCAACACATGGTTCTGAGGTCTGGGCCAGAGACAGGGGAGCTGTGCAGGACTCTCGGCTGTTGAAGTCAGGCCCCTATGTGCTCCGCTGGGATAGTCACTCCAAAGCAGACACGCCCAGGACACTCACCTGGCACCAGTAAGACCTGTGGCTGCTGCTCTAGACCTCGGCTCCCCTGAGCCCAGCACGCTGGAGGCACAACACACTTCCTGCTTTGTCTTCAGCAGCCAACGTGGGGCACACGTGCCCAGGGTGTATTCTTGAAGGATCAGCCCTATGGCAAGGGGAGCTCAGGCCTGTTTGGCATGCAGCCCGAGTCCTGCCTCCAGCACGCTGGATCCTGCGAGCTTAGACAGGCAGTTCAAAATTCACACCTCTGGCCGGCTCAAGGGATGACAGTTCTGTGGGGAAACTCAAAAATCTCATTCCATACTGGAAGAACACAATGGGTTTCCAATGGGAGAGTGTGAGAACATGCCTAGGACTGGACTGTGCCACCGAGGTCTGTCACCACAAAGCACCACAGAAACACCCACTTCCAGTCAACCCTCCTGTCACTGCATGCTGGTCTGGAAGAGCTACAAGGGGGACCAGGAGCAGGGCTCCATGCTCTCAGCCAAGGGGCAGAGGTGCAGACCTGGCCACACCTCAGTGCCGCCGAAGATGCCATGGCTGGCCTGGGAAACTGGGGCCCCAAGGCCGAATTCTGGCATACCGCCACCACCTGCAAAACTTGGACACAGATGTACACACACACACAGACACACGCGTACACACAGAAAGAAAAGATCCAGACATTCAACGTAGAAAAGATATGGATGTGCTAAAAATCGCACAGAACCCGCTTAATCTCCAAACCTCAGAAATGCTAAAAGCCCCGTGTCAGGAGACAAGACCACTGCCCAGGAGCAGGCAACAGGGTCCCTTGGTCAAAAGGCCCCTGGGCAGGGAACCCAGCACCCCGAGCTGCTGAGGATGGGAAGGTGGCATGCGGCCACTGGGCACTCGGCTCAGTGGTGGTGGTGTGCAAGTGGACTTTCAGGAGATGGACACAGCCCAGGGCATTAGTTTCAGCCACCCCTCCCTCCAAAGAAACAACCCTTTATGGCACAAACAAGATAGGGTGGGGGGGCAGACCAGACCCACGAGCAAATTCAATAGGAGTGGGGGGCTCCAGAGGGTAGCGGACTGGCTGGCTTAGCCCCCAACCCCCAAAGGAGGATCCAGGGCCAGGACACTCATGCGTGGCTAGGGGCCTTGGCCCAGCTCCAGGGTTGCCTCTTGAGGGAGCCATGCACAGCAATGCTGGGGAGAAAAATGACAGGGTAGGGCCAGGGCCCCCTGGCACAGAACTGGGCTTCACAGAGACCCAGCTTGAAAGACAGAGTGGAGAGTTCAACTTCCTTCCAAGACCCCCTCTGAGGGTCTTGGGCACCAGAGGCCCAGGCCAGCCCCCAACCCAGGGTAGGGTCACCCTTGATGTTCATGGCTGGGCTGGGGGGTATCCTCAGAGCGGCCACTATAGTAACCTCCAAGAGCATCTACCCTGAGGCAGACCAACCACCCAGACTATACTGACAGTCCACACACACAGTGGTGCCTGGAAGTGCTCCTCCTGAACAGTGGCTAGCGAGGTACACGTGGCAGCCCCAGGGCTCAGTGGCTGGCTGGCAGGCTCCTCTGGACGGCATGCTGCAGCGAGCAGGCCCACCAAAGCCAGGTGTGGTCTGACTCCCACCCGTGCCCACAGTGCCTTCTTTGTTCCCTACTTCTGAAACGTGTGGTCTGAACAAACTTCGTCATTCTTCTGCCATTTGGAAAGAAAAAGACAGGGACCCAAAGCTAAGCATGTTTTTGGAGCCCTCAAGGAGACTCGGTGCAGGTGTTTGCTCCCTCGGGAGGTCGGTGTGGTCTCTACTCGTACATGCACGCCGTCAGCGGGTGTGCGGCAGTGCAGCTGGGTCCAGACTCACTTGGGGGCCCCTCAAATCTCCCACAGGGATCAGTGTTTTCTTGTCAGCAAAAAGGTGCTCTCTGCCCATTGGGGCCGTGGGCTGGGCCATCCTCTACACCACGGTATTGAGGGAACTGCGGCTGTGGCGGCCGCCCCCTGGCAGCGCCTCTGTCGCTGGGGTGCTCCCACTCTGGGTAGGGTCAGGGGGCACAAGCAGGGCACTGCTGCTGTCGGCTGAGTCTTCCAGGTCTGCCAGAGAGGCCCCTGTGGCAGGCACAGGGTGCTCCAGGCGCCGGGGTGATGCACCTTCACCGCCACCATCTCCTGGGGTTGGTGGCCTGGCCTCTGCTGGCTCAAAGGCATCGTCGTCTGCAGGGAGACAAAAGGGAGTCAGCAGGATGGCAGGCCTGGCACGGGGGAAGATGGTGGGCTGCACAGAACCAGGGGCTACTTCTCCTGCCTGAATGCTCCCGTGGTGGCGGGAGGAGGGGGAAGCTGTGCTCACCCCCCACTTTTGCCACCTGGCCCGGTGCAAGGCGCAGGGGTACAGTCGTGAGCAAGCCATGGCAATGTGATATGGAGGGACAGGCTTTGACAGAGTCCGCAGAACAAAGCTGGGGGAGAGGGAAAGTCCTCTCAGACTTGTTGGAGGTTGAAGCAGGGCTCACGTGACACAAGGGAGTTACTGGGCCGGATGTGGGCAGGCGGAACAGGGGACACAGCCCCCAGAAAAGGTGCTGTGGCTGGAATATGGGGATGAGAATGTAGAAGACAGGACCAGAGCAGACAGCTCCACAAACCTTACCGGGGTCTGTAGAAATCTCTGGTTTGAGGGAGGCTCTGTGGCAGCCCATTCCTTTCAGCGTGCCTGCTCCTTATTCCGGCTTTCTCCAAAAGCTCAAGGCATGGGGGCCCCTGTTTCCTGGCTGGCTCCCCCCCACCCCCCCAGCCTCAGCAGTCCTGTTACCTGCCCCAGAGAGCAATGGCTCCCTCACAGCCTGCTCCATGCAGCCATCTGGGACCCGCTGCCCTCCAGCAGCATCCCTGGCAGGAGCCTGTTCTACCCCGACCCCCTGGACGGCAGACTGAGACAAACTGTGTGTGCAGGGGTCAAATCCAGGTCTTGCCTGCACACCACAGAGAAGCAGTACTAGCAAACAGGCCCCAAAACACAGCGGCGCTGGCCCCACGACACACATTCTGCTGTGCTGTGTGGGTGTGCAAGGAGCCAGGCAAGGAGTGCAGGGAGTGGGGCACTGCCTGCTGTCATACTGCAGGGGGTTGTGTGCATGTTAGAGGGTATTAACATGTAGGCAAACGGGATGGGACACCTGAGCTGCACATCAGGGACAGGAACAAGCTGGGCAATGGTGAGGAAACTGGCATTCTCTCTGTGCTACACAGACCTGTGAGGAATGATCTTCCACAGGAGCAGATGGACAAAAGACTTAAGCAGTAAGGCCAACATCACAGAACCAGTGCTTTCTTCCCATTTCACAGACAGGAAGGAATGTCACAAAGGCATCTCTAACAATTACCACATATGCACATGTGTCTTTGTGACCCAGCAGTTGGCTCTGGGCAGGCACCTGGAAGACCTGGGCCAGTCCTATCCCCACAACCGCCAACACCCGGCTCCCCATCTCTCCATACTGCCCAGCTGAGTGTGCCCCAAGGGCTGCTTGCTAACAGGTGTTCATGGGAGGAAGGCAAGGGGCAGCATGGCCACTGCCCACGGTCATCTGCATGTACAACCCTGGGAAGAGCCTGCCCACCAACAGGTGGTTCCACCTTAAATGGAAAGTCAAAAAGAAGCAGAAGGCCAAGGAAGAAGTGGAGGTTCAGGGTCCTGTGTACTGGGGAGGAGGACCAGTGAGCCTCTGGCTGCAAACAGAGGATGGCCAGTGATGTGCTGCTCCCTGTCCCTGGGAGGGAAGCACCTGCAGGGTCGTAGAACACGCTGTCGGGGTTAATGGAGGCCTCATAGGGCGGCGGTGGATCATCAGGCTGGTCGATGTCTGGGTACTTGTATGCGGTGTAGGGAGGAGGAGGGTCGTGGAAGTGGAACGTGCCGCCTTCTCCATCGTCAGAAAGGTGTAGGGGCGTGAGGCCAGTGCCGAACCCATCTGGGCCATAATCAAAGCCGGGGATCCTCCGGCCGAGGTTGAAGTGGTGCACTGAGCAACAGCAGGGAGAGACGAGCAACAGCTGAGTCACCCCAGAGGCCCACAGCATCTGACATCCCGACTGTCACACTTGTGCGCCCAGCTGCCCACATGAGAGCCCTGAAGCTCTGATGCGGACCCCCCCTCCTTCAGAAAGTCCCTGCTCCTCACCCATGTGCAACCCATCATGACATCCTGCCACTTGCACCGCCCAGTCCTCACCACATCTCTCCAGCTTGAGTGTCTTTGTAGATGATTAGGTGAAAACTGAGGGTCTGTGGAAGGGCTGTGCTGTGAGGCCCCCAACTGCAGCTGGCACAGTCCCTTTGTATTCCTACCACCTTGATTCGGGGCCCTCCCCGGAGGGTCTGTACCCATCCCACTGCTCCCCACCCAGACTGGGGACTGGGCGCTAGGGAGCACAGCTTGCTCACTGACACAAGGTGATTCCAGCAGCCCTATGGAGGGCACAGGCCACAGCAGAGAACTCTCTTGCTGCAGTGAACTTGGGCTGAGGAGGGCCAAGTCACACTCTAAGTTGCCTGACATTCACGGGCGTCTGCTGCTCTGCCCTCTCTGCCCACGGCAGGTGGCCCCGCTCATGGTCCAGGCCGTCAGAAAAGGTAACATCAACTATCTAAACATACAGCAGCAGCTGCCTGTCCTGTTTCAAGGTCTGGAGGGCCGGGGAGCCTGGGGGCAGCTGGCACTGAGGGCACACCCCTCCCTCCACACATCCACGGCCTGATTTTGGGTCCCAAGGACAGCTCCTCTAGTTTCCCAGGTGTGCACTCAGCCCAGGAGCAGGTGAGTGGGTGGGACAGGGATACCCCACCAGGGCACCCCTATCATCTACCCCCTCTTGCCTGTTCCCTTGCCCCCCCTTGCTACTTCCAGTACCCTCTCACCCTAAAGAGGACACAGCCCAGAGCAGGGCCCCTGCTGTGGCTATTATAGGTAGGGCCAAGCACACTCACAGTTTGCTCCAATCAGGGACTCAATGCGCTCCCGGCGCCTCTGGCGAAGCCGGTGGACCATGAAAAGCAGAAGCGACAGGATGAGGAAGGAGGAGATGCAGCTAACGATCAGACGCATCCCACTGGCCATGGAGTCAAACAGGCTGTTGCCATCTGTTACAAGGAGAGGAAAGAAATCGGCTGTTCTCAGAAAAGGAGAGCCTGATCCCCAGTGCTTAGTGCTACGGGAAGGCCACAGCCCTCCACCACCAGGCATCTATGTGGAAAAGGCAACTTGCTTCCTGATTCCCTGCACTTGACGTCTTAGGAGAGATGGGAAAAATGAAAACAGCTGAAAGTCAAGAATACTGTGGTTACATCAAAGGAGAGAAGCAAATCATGGCCCAGGAAAGATGTTTTACCTTCCAGTCTAGCACTCCTAAGTGCCAGGCAATGTGCCCCTTCTGCCTAAAAGCTGGCGGGTGCTGTGTTATGGGCCCCTGTGTCCCCAACCATATAGTACAAAATCAGGCAGATATGACCGAGCCACTGGACTCTAGACCAGGGATGCTCACCTGGGCGACACTGCAACTTCCAGGGAACATTTGGCAATGCCTGGAGACTCTTTTGGTCATCATCAACCACTTGAGGGGTGGAGGCACTACTGGCATCTAGTGGGTAGAGGCCAGGGATGCTGCTCAACATCCTGCTATGCACAAGAAAGCCCCACATCACAGCACTCGGCCCCAAATGTTGACAATTCCACCCTGCCTTACCCTGGCGCACACCGGTGCTGGTTAGGTGCTTGCTATGGAGCTGCTGTGGGTAGGGCACAGATGGTGATCATGGGATGAGGGGTGAGGGAAGAGAACTTGCACTGGCTGAGTGCCTACAGTGTGACGGACATCTCCAGGGGCTCCTACCTAGATGAGATGAGCCACTCACACCAAGTCACAGAAGAGCAGAACCAGGAAGTGGTCCCAGGAACACCTGCCTCCACAAACCCAGAGGGAAGGCCAGGGAGGCTTCAGTGCAGGGAGGGGGGCAGGCACAGCGAGGAAGCGACCTATAGCCACTGGAAGCAGGACTCTGTGTGGGTATAAGGGCCAAGGACTATCGTATCAATCCATACCAATGCAGATGGTCAGAGCTCACACTTGCCCTCCTCCCACGGGAGCCAGAAAGCTTCCCTCAAAGCTGCATTTATTGCTGACAACACTTGGAAAGTAAATATGTGGAAATGATACATTCTCTCACCAATTAGCTGCTTTTTTTGGTGCCTCTGATCCTCTTCCAGACTCAAGGGAACATTTTGTCTCTGTCTGTGGGAGGAAGTCTGTCAGCCCAGGGGGCTACTGACATGTCTATTAATTGGTGGTCAGCTCAGAGATCCCAAGGGAGCACCTAAAGGAGCAGCCCCTTTGCAATGACTCTTAATCACTTCTAAAATAAACCCAAGGACACAGTCAAGGTCCCTGACCATTCCTCCATGATGATTACCAGGAAGGAGGAAGCATCTCCTAGAAGAAAGTCACCTGCAGTCAGACACAAAGAAGACAGCACTGTTCTAGGGTCAGAAGTCAGAGATCCCTGGGGACTCGCCACAACTGGTCCCTCCATGGGGCTCTGGACAGTACCAGACGGGGCTGTGTTCTGTCTTCCAGGCTACTGGTCCTTAGTTAACCCTTGGGCCCCAGAGGACATGTCTTGCTGGGGAAGATGCTGTTGCAACTGAAGGTGCCCTGAAGTTCACCTGGCCTGGCCCTTGGTCTGATGCTTGAGCCATCCCAGGTCCTTTTCACGCAGCTGCCCAGTCTGTGCATGAAGAACTTCAGTGATCAGGAACTTAACCATTTCACTGAGCTTGGTTACATGGATGGTTTCAAATCTCCGTCAGAGATGGCAGGTGAAACAGAAGCTCAGCAGGAATCAGAGGCCAATGCCCTGGATTCTAACGTGGGCTCTGCTCCTGGCAGCTGCTCTGCTGGGCACCTCCTCTCACCTCTTGGGAGCCTTGTGACCCCAGGCTTCCCCAGGGCACCGGTGCAGGACAGGAATGGAGAGCACCAGTTGCTCTGTGCCTCAGCCACCCTCAGAGCTGGCAATTCTGTTATTTTCATCTTCCATTAGGTGTGGTAGCCCAAGTGCATTCAATTTGTTTCCCTAGTGACCAGTTGAACATCTTTTCAGCTGTTTGGCTGCCATCATGTGTCTTCTTTGGTGAAGTGTCGTATTAAATCTTCTCCCCACTTTTTAAAAAAAAAGTTTATTTATTTATTTTGAGAAAGAGAGAGAGCATGTCTAGGTGCAAGAGGGGGTGGGGCAGAAAGAAAGGCAGAGACAGAATCCCAAGCAGGCTCCGCACTGTCAGTGCAGAGCCCAATGTGGGGCTTGAACCCACAAACTGTGAGAGAGACCATGACCTGAGCTGAAATCAAGAGTCGGATGCTCAACTGAGCCACCCAGGCACCCCTCCCCACTTTTTAATAGGGTGGTTTCTTATTATTGGGGTTTGTAGAGTCTTTATATACTCTGAATACAAGACTCTGACTTGTGTTTTGCAAATATTTTTTCTCTGCTGGTGGCTCATCTTTTCATTTCCTTAAGCAACTTTCAAAAGCAGAAGTTTTCAATTTTGATGAAGTCCAATTTACCAATTTTTCTTTTTTGGATCATGCTTTTGATGTCAGCTATAAATGTTGCCTATCCCAAGGTCACAAAGATTTTTGTTTTCTTTTAACAGACTTTATTTTTTTAGAGCCTATATTTTCTTCTAGAAGTTTCTGAATTTTGAGTCAATTAAAAAAAATTTTTTTAATTTAAGTTTATTTATTTATTTATTTAGAAAGAGAGAGAGAGAGAGAGACAGAGAGAGAGAGAGAATGGGAGAGCAGGGGAGGGGCAGAGAGAGAAGGAGAGACAGAATCCCAAGCAGGCTCTGTACTGTCAGCACAGAGCCCAATGTGGGGCTTGATCCCATGAACCACTATCATGACCTGAGCCGAAATTAAGAGTCAGATGCTTAACTGACTGAGCCACCCAGGTGCCCCTTAAGTTAATTTTTATACATAGTAGAATGTGTAGTTAAAGGTATGTATGTGTATATATGTGTGTGTATATTTGCATATGGATGTAAAATTTTCCAGCACCATTTGTTGAAAGATTATCCTTTCTCTATTTAATTGTTTTTGTACCGTTGTCAAGTATCAGTTGACCATATAAGTGTGGGACTATTTCTAGACTCTATTCTAGAGTCCACTGATCTATATATCTCTTGATAATACTGCAATGTTTTGTTTACCAGGACTGTACACTAAGTTTTACATCAGGTACCATGAATCCTCCAACTTATTAAAAACTGTTTTGGCTATTCTAATTCCTCTGCCATTCTACATAAATTTTAGAATCAGTCTGTCAATGTCTGCCAAAAGTCTGCTGGAATTTTGGTTGGGACTGCACTGTATCCATAGATAATTTGGGGGAATTAACTGTATAATGATATTGAGTCTTATGATCCATGAACATGGTACACCTCTCCTTTTATTTACACCTTTGATTTCTTTCATCAGTATTTTATGATTTGTAGCATACAGACTGCACATATTAGTAGGGTTTATACCAAGGATTTCATGGTTTTGGTACTACTGTAAATGGTACTTTTCTTAGAAAGTTCAATTTCCAACTGTTCATAGGCAGTATATATAAAAACAATGTAGTTTTATATATTGACCTTGTATCTGGAGACCCTGCGAAAGACACTTATTAGTTTTGGTATCTTTCCTGTAGATCCTCTGGGATTTCCTATGCAGACAATCATGTCATCTACTAAAAAAGATTATTTCATTTTTCTCTTCTGGTCTGGATACCATTTCATTTTCGGCATTGCCCTTGACCTCTTGAACAACCCTAAACAGAATAAGAGCAGATATCCTTACCTTATTGAAGGGGATACTTTCCCAAAGTCCCCAGTTTGGGTGGCAGTGTCTCTGTCCTTTTTGGAATACAGGCATTTCCCAGGAGAAAATGCTCCAACCTGGGAAGCAGTCAGGAGCCTGCAAAAGTAAGGCTGAAGCAAGAGGCAAGGAGAGGCCCTGGATAAGCTGCTCTGGCAGCACAGGAGAATGGCCTACAGCAGCTATGGTCTCATCCAGAGGCCCTGAAAGCCCTGCTCTGCTGAGAAGTCCTCAGGGTTGGTTAGGCTCTACAGGCCTTATATATATCTAATCATTCTTATAAAGCTTGGATGGAGAGGTAAGGCAACACTGGTAGACTCCTAAGAAATGGAATGAGAAGTCCAGGTGATGTGACTTGTGAAAGCCAGAGGTTTGACTCATGTGGAAAATAAGTGAGTTGGAGGCTCAGAGTGATGTGGCCAGGACACAGACCTGGTAAACAATGAATAGGTGCTTGTCAGAATCCCATAGGAATTCATCCTACACAAGAGGTAGCATCTACCATGTGGGATAGGGAGGCCCAACTATACTTTCACTGAACTCCATGTTCCCTGATGGCTCCATATCTGACTGCATGTTTGGGACGTGTGCCAGAGTGCCCCATTTGGCTAAATCTCAGATACCGCTGACATTACTTTGCCCTCTCCCCAGAAGCCTTCCTGGCATGCAGGACATTGACAGCTCTCTACTCAAGGAGAGCTCTTGTTGTTGTGGCCCTCACGGGCTAACTCTAGCTGTTGCACCAGCACTAGGCAAACAGTATCTCCTTCACAGGGGCCCTGGAGGTTGGAGATGGCCTCCCTGCCCTGCCCAAGCTGTTCATCTACAGGGTCCACAAGCTCAGGAACGGCCACAAGTCCCTGCTCTCTCATATTGCAGCAGCCAAGATAAAAAACAAATTCATGCTTTTGATTTACATTTCTCTTAAGATCATGAATTTATAGAGATGCCAACTGCACTGGTGTGGAGAACAATCCAGCATGCTGTATGGAGTGTGATGCCCACTCATGGTCCTACAGATTACGTTGCTATCTGTTGCTCTTTAGTGTGTGTGTACGTGGAAAAGGGAGGAAGAGGGTTATCCAGAGACCACATGCGTACATAGTGTCTAACCACAAAGCACCACCTGGTAGAAAGGAGTTTTCTCTTGAAATTGAGGATAATATTTAATCTTTTTCTTGAAGACTTTAACAGTAAAAATCGAGGACTATAAGCAGTAAAAAGTGTCATTATTCTCCAGATCACCGTAGCCAAGAAAGAGCTCAAGTAGGGACATAAGTCTTGAGAAAGACAGGCCAGGTCTGAAGCTATCATTTACAACTGATTCATGAACAGACACTCACACTCAAGTTAAAGTTCACTGGTGCACAATACCTATTACCTGAGAGCTGACATGAGCCAACTTGAGAGGTGGCAGTTAGAGGAAGCTGGGTCATATGACACATACATGCCCACAAGAGTAATTGGCCAGCTCTGTGAACAAATGCTGCCACTGCTGCTATGCCATGTGCCATGAGCTCTCATAAGTCCCCACCACTGAGAAAGCAAAAATACATGTAGGCTCCAGCTTGGAACAGGGAGGCTGACTCGTGACCCACCATCAGTCTCACCTGGGTCCAGGCACATGAACTTGCAGCACTCCTTGGGGTCCTTGCGGTACTGCTGGCAGCCCTGGGGCCTCTCACAGAGGGCAGCCACACACATCTCAGGCTCCCCACCGTGGCAGGTGCAACTCAGGCATGGGTCGTCTCCTTTGGGGGTGAAATAGAACCCTTCATCCACCACATTGTCCTTGATGTCAACACATGTTTGACCTGCAACAAACCAAACACACACATGCCTATGACATATGCATTATCAGCAGGAGCCCTGACTCTCTCCACCTGGAGGCAGATGAGAACAGAGGAGTTGGCAAGATCAACCTGGGAGCCCTCCCAGTGCTGGAGTGTGTGAGTCTGGCCCATGGCCGCAGGGAGTGGCTATCTGAGAAAGGTCACTACAGCTCACTATTAGGACAAAGCACACCTGGCCATAAGCCCAGACAGCTACGAGAGAGAAGCGTGCTAGATTCCGGGGAAAAGCCCATGGAGAAGGGTTTGCTTTTAAGTGTTTGCCTAAGCAGTTTACTTAGAGGTTTCCTCAACTTTAAGATGCAGCTGCCATGTCTATTAACCATTTTGTGACACATTTGAGAATGTGTCTCAAATGAGTCTCCCGAGAAGCTGCTAGTTCTGCTTGTGAAGACAGTTCACCAGTCCTAAAACAGACACATTGAACTGTATGCAGAGCTGACCTGGGGCTAGAGAAAGAGAAATAGCCATGGCCAGAGACAAGAGGGAGTTGAGAAGTCAGACTTTTTCTGCCAAAGTCAGCAAGCAGACACAACAGATGCATGGGGGAAGGGATGAGTGATGAGGCAGGGGCAGTTCTCCAAAGATACATGCTCGGTGAAAAGCAAAGGGACATAAGAAGTCTGTTTCAGTGTCTAAATGGAATAGAGATGTCTAGAAAAACTCATCAGAAATCCCACAACCAGGGGTCTGTGCCTCACTTTAAGACTGGCTACATAACTCATGTGGTCAGAAATCTACATAACTCATGTGGTCAGAAATTTTCAGGGCAAGAAACTCACGTAGAATTGTTCTCTGCTAGAAGAGAAAAAGAATGAAGAAAAATGAGCAGCCTTCAGAGAAATGCAGGACACCATCAAGTGCACCATCACAGACAAAACTCAAGTACCAGAAAGAGAAGAGAGTGGAAAAAGAAGAAATATCTGAAGAAATAAGGGCTGAAAACCTGACGAATTCATTGAAAAACAAAACCTATATATGTAGGAAGCATAACAAACTCCAAGTTGGATAAATGCACAAAACCTAAACACATCCAACACATCACAGTAAAAGTGCTAAAGCTGGAGAAAAGGTGAAAACCTTAAAAACAGCAAACCAGAAATGACTTGTTACTGATAAGGGGACCCTCAGAAGACTAACAGCTGACTTCTCAGTAGAAAGAACAGAGGCAAGAAGGCAGTGGGTAACATAACAATGGTGCTCAAAGAAAAAACCGTCAACTAAGAATCCCATATCCAGCAAACCCAGCTTTCCAAACTTGACAGCAAAATAAAGACTTTCCCCAGAGAGATAAGACCCGAGAGAATTTGTTGCTTTCACACTCACCTTACAAGAAATACCAAAGGAAGCCATTTTTTTAACCCCCCCTAAGAGAAGTTCTTCAGGCTAAAAGCAAGTGACCCTCAGAGAAGAATTTGAGTCCATACAAAAAAAAAAACAAAAAACAAACAAACAAAAAAAAAAAAACACCAGAAAAGATAATTATGTAATTATGAAAGACCATATAAATGAGTATTTTTTTCCTCTTAACTGACTGAAAAGGCAATTCTATAAAATACTGTCTTTATATAATGTTGTATTGGGCTTCTAACATATAGAAATGTAATGTATGTGTTTGCCAATAAAGCCCAAAGGAGGTGTGTGGAAGCAAAGCTGCTGTGGGCTAATACAATGACTGGAGGTGATAATTAATAACCACGTATTGTTGGTTTGTAACACTAACAGACCTAATGTATGTAATAGTATTACTATAGAAAAAGGGAAAGGAAATGGAGTTATACAGAGGTAACATTTCACATATCACTGAAATGAACCTTGCATCGATCTGAATAAAATATATATGGCAAAATGCATATGTACACGTACATGGAATTAGTGGTTATAGTTGCACTTACCTGTGAATAAACTAAAGTGCTGAATGGTATACTTTAAATGGGGGAATTGTAAGGTATAGAATCTTGGATTGAGAGTAACTCGTTTTGCGAGTGTTCCACAAGACTAGCAAACATTTCTAATAAATTTTAACTTGATAAACAAATGATAACTTGCAATACGATACTGAATGTCACATGATCACAGAAAAAGTCAGTGGTTCTTCTATCTCTTTCTCTCCCTGCAGGATTGTGGGTGATCATATCCTATGCTCAGACGCTCGGTCTCAGGCTATCGTGTTTGCAGTAATTGGTGATTTTTCAGAACGTTGGAAGGTGCCCACACTGGCACTACTGTATTTTTTGTCACTTCAAAGCACCTATGGACAGTCCTTTGCTTTTCCATACAAGAATACGCTTAGGAATGCCTTGCTTCATTCTAGGTCAGGCTGCCTGCAGATACAGACCCTTTCTTCTCCTGCCTTATTGCCAGTTACATTAAATACAGTATATGACAAGAGTTTATTAATACTGTACTGTAGTCAACATCTGTGCGAGCATATGCAATGGCCCCCATGCAGAAAAAGATTCCATTGAGGCAACAGATAACAGTGATTCCGTTAGTGATAATGAAAGTTATCTTACATGATAACCCTCCTCTCTCCTGTCTCCCTCACACCAGCCATGAAAGTTTTCAAAGGTAAGTGTAGGTTAATTTATTTTTCTTTATATTCTGTGTTTTATTATTCTGTACTATATTATAGTATTGTAATAATTTTTATGTGAATATTTTTGGGTTGCAGAACAAATCACCTGAGTTTCCATGATTTCTTATGGGGAAATTTGATATACAGTGCTTTGGATTACGAGCATGTTTCTGGAACAAATTATGCTTGCAAACCAAGGTTTCACTGTGTGTGAATTTTATCCGATAAAGATGTTAAAAAAAATGATGGCTGAGATCTTTCCATAATTAATCAAACACATAAATCCCCAGGGGTCCTAAAAGGACAAATAAAAATAAATCAATAACAGTGTGATGAAATCTCAGTGTATCAACAAAGAGAAACTCTCAAAAGCAACAAGAGACATGAAGATTACCTACTGTTCTGTGTTCCTTTAGGTAGGCCAGTCAGGTGTGGCCACAAGAGAAGCGACAAGGGAGGCACAGGAAAACAAAGAGTATTATACTCATAGGTCCTGAACCGACAGAGTCCTTGCATGCCAAGAGGGATCACACAGGAAGAGCACCAACAGTGCTGCTCAACCAAGTGGGTGGGGAGCAGAGAAGGAGCGAGGACCCACAGCAAGAGCTTTACTGGGGGTCAGGGCAGAGAACACAAGTAAAAGCAGGAGGGGATTTCACTGGGGCATTTGAAACGTCACTAGGTCACAGACAGGGAAGGAACAAGAATGGGAACTTATGGCAGAGGCCAACCTTATTACACTGGGGCCCCTGGCCACCTGGATGGGGTGCTCATAGCAAGTAATAAGTTTTAAAATTTATAATGCACCTACAAGGAAAACCAAGGAAAGGTATACAACAGTTCAGAACAAGGACAGGCAGAAACAATAAAATAACATCTTCAAAGTTTTGAGAAAAAGTAACTGTTAACCGACAAATCTATACCCAGATAAACTAACATTCAGGATTGGAGGCAAAAATTACAGACGTTTCACACAGAGAGTAACAGAGTGTAACACTAACAACACAACCTCTTCTCCAAGAGCTGCTGAAGAATACATTTGAGAGATAAAAAGCCAAACGCAGAAAGAAGTGGGGTGCAAGAGGAAATAATAAATAAGAAAGTGATAAACATATGAGCAAATATATATATAAATGCTAACTTCATAAAACAAGTGATTCATTTAAGAAGTGTTGAAACAGGGGTGCCTGGGTGGCTCAGTTGGTTAAGCGTCCAACTCTTTTCTCTTTTTTTTTTTTATGTTTGTTTATTTCTGAGAGAGAGAAAAAGAGAGCAAGCAGGGGAGGGGCAGAGAGAATCAGAAGAAGAATCAGAAGCAGGCTCCGGGCTCTGAGTTGTAAGCCCAGAGCCCAATGCAGGGCTCAAACCTATAGACCGCGAGACCATGACCTGAGCTGAAGTCAGACGCTTAACTGACTGAGCCACCCAAGCGCCCCTCTTTTTTTAAAGTTTATTTATTTTGAGAGAGGAAGAGGGAGAGCTTACACATGTAAGCAGGAGAGGGGCAGAGAGAGAGGAGGAGAGAGAATCCCAAGCAGGCTCCATGCTGTTAGCGCAGAGCCCAGTGGGGGGGCTCCACCTCATGAACCATGAGATCATGGTTCTGAGGCGAGATCAAGAGTCAGACACTAAACAGACTGAGCCACCCAGGTGCCTCAAGCATCTGACTCTTGACTTCAGATCAGGTCATGATCTCACGGTTCATGGGATCAAGCCCCATTTCTGGCTCTTTGCTGACAGTGCCAAGCCTGCTTGGGATTCTCTCTCTCTCTCTCTCTCCCAAAAATAAGCATAAAAAAAATAAAAGAAATGTAAAACAAAGTAAAATGAAAGTAACAGACAACATGTATACCCATACTTGAAGCTGGGGAACAACTAGAGCTAAAGCAATATAAGGTCTTTGTATTAACCAGGTGGAAGTTAGAGGCACTGTCTTTAGATTTAAAAAACAAATCAATTATGCCCTTTAAAAATGTAAGGATAACCACTAACAGGAAAGGCAGATATAATTTCTGAACCAGTATAACAAAAAAAGAGACTAGAGAAAAGTTGATTAATCTCATATGAGTCAGTAAAAGATTTAAAAAAACAAGCAAAATTCTGGGTAAAGAGCACAGAACAAGGTGCTAAAATCAACTTGAAGACTTAATTAAAAGAGTACAAAAAGACATATTAAAAGGAAGCTAGCACAAAAATATTATGTAATAATAAAAATAGTTCATATATATTGAGAGCTTTCTCTATGCCAAGGACTATTCTTTGCACTGAGCATATGCTAACTATCTCTCCCAACAACACAGTGAGGTGGGTGCTCTACTACCCCCTGGTTCCTAATGTGGAACCCAAGGACAGAGCTCAAGAAATTGCCCAAAGCCAAACCTGGATT